AGACAGGCAGGTAGGTAGGTAGGTCGGTACGCATGTAGGTATGTATGCATTTATTTATGTATGTATGTAGGTTATTATGTATTTACAATTCTATACCGGGCCTCGTTGATTTATGGGGGTTTTGAACTGCATGTCGTTGGGCGTGTGCGATTTGTGTCCATGCCCGTCAGAGTATGTAACACGGTTGGGATGCGAAGTGGTGGTTGCCAAATGGCCGTAGTACCGACGATACAGCGGAGGGCGACGACGAGGACCGACGATTGGGCGGTGATTGCAACGCTGATGGTGACCATGAACAAGAGTCTGATCCAGAGTTTGTTGATTTCAATGATGGCAGTGTTGTGGCCTTCGGGTCATTCCGCCACCGTGCCCAGGTTGCGGACCATAGGCTACGTAGAGGCCTCTTGGGGTATCCTGGTGTCGCTTGGGGGATCTCTTGGGGGTCTCTTGGGGCTTCTTGCGACCTCCCGGGGGCCTTTGGGGGCCCCTGGGGGCCTGTTGGAGGGTTTCTTGAGTTTGAGGCCCTCTTGTTGACCTTACTGCAGGAGAGGTAGAGGGCTTCTCGAGCCCTTCGGGGTCCCCTTGTCGGTCCCCTCTTGAGGCCGTTTTGGGGCCTCTTCGACCCCTTTGGGGGGCTTGGGGACCAGCCGCCTTGGGGCGATCTTGGGGGCCTCTGATGCCGTTTTCGGCGGTTCGATGTTGGGCGCTCTTGAGACCGAAAAGGCGCGAATGCTTGAGTCATGCACAAACCGTGCGCTCTTCAGTGATCTTGGCCTGCAGGCCCCAAGAGACTCCCAAGAGAACCCATGGGAAAGAGTTCCAGCGAAGACTGACAACAGTTTTCGTCCATTTTGAACAGGGCTCGCTGTCGGTGCCGGCGCGGGCGGTGTTCATTTGAGAAAGAAGGGCGCCTACCCATCAGTGGCTGCTGTCGGGTTCCACTGTTTCCGTACCCATCTCGGGCGTCAAGCAGGATGGGCCCCCGGGACCATTCCAGCGAGATTTGGAGGCTTGGGGTTCTCGCAATGCGTCCATGGCCTCGGGGGAAATCACGCGTTCATTCTCAGGAACGCCAGGAAAGCCCGGGGATAGGAAGTCGGAGGGCTTGAAATATTGTTTGCCATACGTTTTCGATATTGAGGATTTGGAAGGGGCCCGAGGAGACTCCTCTCAGTGCTGACGGCACGTTGGAGGATCTTTTCGGAGCTTCTGGCGATGCTGCCGTTGATGACACGGGCTGTGCTAGCGATGGAATGACTCGGTGCAATGACACCCGCTGGCGGTGCGCATCAGCTCTCTGATGCACTGCATGGCACGCAGGCTCTCTGTGCAAGCGAGGAGGAGGCGGAGGCCACAGAAGCTCCAGCTTCGGACCCAAGTGCTCAGAGGTGCTGGGCTGGGTGAGAAGTGCAAAGTTCGGCTACGCGTAAGAGTGACCCCATCGCCGGAGTGAACTTTGGTGCGCGGCATTCGGGAGCCGCGGGGGGGGCCAACACCGAGAACGCAGGCCGCCACTGCTGCATCGCCCGCAACGACGGGCAGGCCGCGCACCAAATCGGCGTAATGCTATGTGTGCGTCGCCCCCCTCCCAGGGGCGACGCGCGCGCTGAGAAATCTCATCGTAGATGCTCCGCGGCGGGCGCTTTCTGGCCGCACCGTTCGGGAAACCGACCTGGCACAAGATGGTTGTGCTGTATGATCGGGCCGGGCTGCAGTACGACCATGTCCCTCCCTTCTGCGCCCCACCACAGGTCACTCTCACCCCCTGTCTGTCGCTCTTGCCCACGACCGCTCTCGCCCAGGCACTGGGCCCACCCGGGCTCTCTTGCGGTGCGCCCGCCTCGGATGGCCGGTCTGGGCGCGGGCTGCTGGCACGGGCTGGCGCGCCGGGGCTGGGCACCGCCTGCCTGCGGCCGCGCATGGGGGACGCGGAGGCAGATGGGAGCAGGAGGAGGAGGAGGAGGAGGAGGAGGAGGAGGAGGAGGAGGAGGAGGAGGAGGAGGAGGAGGAGGAGGAGGAGGAGGAGGAGGAGGAGGAGGAGGCAGGAGGAGGAGGAGGAGGAGGAGGAGGAGGAGGAGGAGGAGGAGGAGGAGGAGGACGAGGGGGACGAGCAGGAGTCTCGCGGCACTCTCCTCGCACCCCCCTCCGGCGCCCCCTCGCGCGCCTCGCCGCCGATGCCCCCGCGGGCGGCCCCGAGGCGACGCGAGGGCCGCCAGGACAGTCAGGCGGCGCCCTCCCCCTCGCCCCGTCCACTCTCTGACAGCGTCGTGCCGAGGGCCTCCTCTGTCCTCGCCCACATCGTCGTCCTCCTCCTCCTCCTTTTTCCCTTCTCCTTCTCTTTCCACCCTCCTCCTCCTCTTCCTCCTCCTCCTCCCTCCTTCCTCCCTCAGCCCTCCCCCTCTTTTCCTTCAAGATAGGCGCCTGCCCACCGCCCAACGGACGGTCCGAGGGGTGCCGCTGGGAAAAGGCCAAACCCCCTGCGCAGGCAGGCTGCGTCTATCACACTTGCGCCTAAGAGCGCGCTTGCTTACGTCTGGCATGCGCTCGCGAAGCCTGGGTCGAACCAGACAACCCTCCTCAAGGCCGAGGTGGGAAGCGTCCCCTACTCCTTCGGGCTGCAGCCTTTCCATCTCCCCTTTGCGGCGCAGCATTGGCCAGCGCGATGGCCTGGACACGCACGCGCAGAGCGCTGCACCCGACATGCCAGCCGCCGAGCCTCATGCGTGCCGCCGCCGCTGGCACTCTCGCAGGCAGGCGGCTGCCCGCGTGCGTACGCGACCTTCGCGTCCGGCCAGGTCCGTACCGGTCGAGGCCGAGGAGTCTTCGTCGCTGTGCAGAGGCTCGGCTACGCCGCTAAGAGTTGGACGCGGTCCCTGCGCGGCTGGCGTTCGAGTTGAGGCGCAGGCTTGCGGCCTCGGTCCATTGCCAGAAATCTCCTCTCAGTCCTGACGCTCATCCCCGAGTGCTTCATCGCGGTTTTCGTGCTGCAGATGCCGGAGATCCTCTTGTCCTAGCCGTGCGCGGTGCCGCTGATCTCGGACCCGTTGTTGGTCCAGCTGGACAGCCGCTTGTGCTGCCGCCCGTTTGCTCTCCCCAGCTGCTGGTGCAAGCGCCGAAGGCCCAGCTGGTGGACCAGCTAACGGCCTTCCCCGTCGTAGGGAGGCCCGTGGAACCACTGCTGTCGGTTGTGACGCTGGATGCCCTTCTGATTGCCGAGCCGAGGACCCGACCGCCGACGAGGTCGCTTCCGTGGAAGTGTCCGGTGCGCCCGCGCGGACAGCTTGGCACCACGAGTGGTGCGGCCGGATTGGGAGCTCGAAAGACCTCCAGGACCGCTCGAGACCCCGCCGGCCGACGCACTGGACACACCACCAGTGAGGGCGGGTAGACAACGCCGGTCCCGCTGGCCGCAGCGTGGCGCTTCGGCCACACTGCGCGACCACCGGCTGACGGTGGTTTCAAGTTTCCTCGCCGACGTCGTTGTGCAGACGCCGCCAGAGCAGGCGGCAAGATATGCTGCCTTCGCTCTCGACCAGGCCGTCTGGTGCTGCACGAAGCCGCGCCATGCCGCCCCAGGCCGCTACCAACATCGACTCGAAGGAGGCCACATATACGAAGGAGGGTCCCATTCAAGTGGGCGGGGTCGAGGACTTGGTTGACAAGCACTGGGACAAGGAGGACATGGCAAGAAGTGCAGCGTACCCCTCTTGCCGCCGAGAGGCGCCGTGTGGCCGTGTTGATTCTGGTGTCTCTGAATGGCGCGCTCGTGTGCAGCGCCGTAGTCATCCACCCCTCCGCGGTGCCCAGTTCGCGTGCAGCGCTGTGGTCTGGTCAGCCGTCTGCAGGGCCCAGAGTTTCATCCATACTGTGAAGGCCTTACGGCTGGTGCCGCCGACCCTGAAGAGGGAGACGGAAGCGTTTGGGAGGCAAGGGATCGAAGGGGAAAACCTCTGCTAGGGAGGGGTGCTTCCCCACGTGGGCGGGGGGTCACAACCCCCAGACCCTCCCTTTACCCCCCCGGGACCCCTTCCAGGACCCCCTCGGGATTCCTCCCCGCCCCTGGGATCCACCCTCTCATCCCCTTGGGACCCCCCCTCCCGGCGGGGAATGGATCAAAGGGAAGGGGCTCCCCTTCGGCTCGATTATAACGTTGCTCGATATTCCTTTGGCTGGAACGTTTGAACAGGAGGGCCCACGGACAAGGACAGGGGGGAGCGGTGACAGTGACGACCTTGACGACAACGACGACGACGACGACGACGACGACGACGACGACGACGACGACGACGACGACGACGACGACGACGACGACGACGACGACGGCGGCGGCGGCGGCGGCGGCGGCGGCGACGATGACGAACACGGAAAAGCCTCTCACACGCCAACAGGGTCGGCGGATTTTCATTGGTGTGAGACCCTTTTCTAGAAGGGGCAAGTCCACGACCCTAGCGTGCCTCGCGCAATGACGACGTACAGGAAGAGCCTCCCTCCTTCTCCTCCTTTTTTTTCCTCGTCCTCCTTGTCCTCCCTGGTCCTCCTGCTTTTCCTCCTCCTCGTCCTCCTGCCCTCTTAGGAGGAGGAGGAGGAGGAGGAGGAGGAGGAGGAGGAGGAGGAGGAGAAGGAAGTGGAGGAAGAGGAGGAGGAGGCGGAGGAGGAGGAGGAGGAGGAGGAGGAGGGCGGGAGGAGGAGGAGGAGGAGGAGGAGGAGGAAGAGGAGAGGAGGAGGAGGAGGAGGAGGAGGAGGAAGGAGGAGAGGGGAGAGGAGGGAGGGAGGGAGGAGGGGAGGAGGGAGGGAGGGAGGGAGGGAGGGACGGAGGAGGAGGAAGAGGAGGAGGAGGAGGAGGTGGAGGAGAAGGAGGAGGAGGAGGAAGAGGAGGAGGAGGAGGAGGAGGAGGAGGAGGAGGAGGAGGAGGAGGAGGTGTAGGTGTATAGCTGGCACCATCCTAATCTATTTCAGGATGGTGATCGGTCGGCGGCAGTCGTCCAGTGGGTGGCGCGGAGCGGCGCAGGCGGACCATGCTCTCGCTGCCGCACTCGAACCCGTGGAACTACGTTATCCAGGAGATCCCAGCAGACAGCGGGCCGGGCAACCGCGAACCCAGAGCTCCACTTTCCCCCTACTTTCCCCCTCTGCTTCATGACATACTTTTCTCCCCTCTCCTTTTCTCGAGGGGGGTCTGAGTCTGGGTGTGGGTGTGGGCCGGTGCGCACGACTGTGGATACGCGCGTGAGTGTGTTTGTGAGCGTCGGTGTGGACGCGTTTTGAGCGCGTGGCAAGATGGTGAAGTCAACATATGGCAGAGTTTTCGGGCACAGGGGGTCGGGTTTGGAAGGTCGCTTGTGTTGACAAGTTTTTTGGGGCACTCTCCAGGACCTTCCCAGAAGATCTCTGCCTGACAGCCCCTGAGCTCGGTGGGCCTCCGGTTTCTGCTTGTCTGCCGTCCCATTCCATGTTCCCTCCGTCCCATTCCATGTTCCCTCCGTCCCCCGAAACCTACCCCTCTTCCTCCTCTTCGGATTCCCCTCCTTCTCCTCCTTCCCTCGTCCTTATTCTCCTTCGGTCTGTAACCCATTCGATCGCTGCGAGCCTTGATCGTTGATCTGATTCCGACAGGGGCCGTGCGAGGGGCATCGCTGGAGGCATGCAGTCATCGAATCATAGTGATTCGAGCGCGCGCGCGTATACGAAATTGCTTGGGAAGCATCCCCGCCTCTTCAGTCCAATCGCAGTTGACAGATACTTGCTTTCACTTCCTTCTGCCATTGCTGCTGCTTCCTCTCTCCATACTGCAAACCTCCCCCCGTGCCCATCCCGTGCTCCTGCTCCTTCTTTTTCCCTGCTCCACTGTCTCTCCCTTCTCCCTTCTCCCTCCTCGCTTCTCCCTCCTCTCTCCTCTTGCCTCCCTTCGCCCTTCTCCCTTCGCCCTCGTCCCTCCTCCCTCCTGCCTCTCCCTCATCCCGCCTCCTTCCTTCATTCAGGCCGCTCTTTGCGCTCTTCCTTCCTTTTGCGGCCACCCCATGAGGGGGGAACCTTGTCACTCTCGCACGCTTGTGGTCATAGAACTAGGCACAGTGTCTGCGACCGGGCCCCTTCTCGTTAAGGCTGCAGGGGGCCTGCACGACGCTTGCACAAGCTCTGCATACGTCGCGTTCGACCCCCCCCCCACTCACCTCCCTCCTCCCTTCTCATCTTCTCGCGTTATCGATGTTCCCTTCTGCCGAGTCGATCCGATCTCCCTCTCGCCCTCTCCTCTCCCGCTGTCCCACCCACTCCCGGAGGGTCGCTGCCACACTGCCAGCGCAATCCACAGGAGAAGAGCTCCAAGCAGAAGCGCATGGCGGAACTCAGCCGGTTCTCCATGGCGATGACTACCGTGGTGCACGGGGTGCAAGAGAGGATGATGATGATGATGATGATGATGATGATGATGATGATGATGATGATGATGATGATGATGATGATGATGATGATGATGATGATGATGATGATGATGATGATGATGATGATGATGGGGAGGAGGATGATGGGGAGGAGGAGGAGGAAGAGGAGGAGGAGGAAGAGGACGTGACAACGAGGAGGAAGAGGACGTGATAACGAGGAGGAAGAGGAGGCATGTGCCAAGGGTGGTGTGTTGTGTTTAGCATGCCTTATCTTCTGCGTTCTCGATTGGTCTCTGGAGGATTGTGAAGAGGAGGCGGATATTATGAGAAGTATGATGCTGAAGGAGCAGGGGGGGAAAACATGGAGAAATACAAGGGGGATGAAGATGAATATGAAGATGAAGATGCATCTGAAAATGATGATGATGATGATGATGATGATGATGATGATGATGATGATGATGCCGTTCATGATGATGCTGCTGCTGATTATCATTATCATGATGATGCCAATGATGATGGTGATGGTGATGTTGGTGATCGTGATGACGATACTGACGATGATGAGGAGGGGGAGGAGGAGGATGAGGAGGGTCATGATGACGACAATGATGAGAAGTACAATTATGAGGACGATGATGATGACGATGACGGTGATGATGACGATGATGATGACGATGATGATGATGATGATGATGCTCATGCTGCTGGTAATGATGTTGATGATGATGATTATGATGATGATATTGCTGCTGATGATGATGCCGATCATGCTGCTGCTGCTGCTAATGATGAGGAATATGATGATGATGCTGATGATGATGATGATGACGATGATGATGATGATGATGATGATGATGATGATGATGATGATGTTGATGATACTCATGATGAGGGTGGTGATGAGGTGAGGAGTATGATTATAATGGTTATGCAGATGAGCAATGTATCGGTGATGATGAGGTTGTCGATGCTGTTGTTGTGTTTGCTGATGATGCAGGTGAGAAGTATGATGATGCTTAGGGTTTGGTGGCTATGATACTAATGATGGTGGTGGTGGTGGTGATGCTGAGGATGAGGAGGGGGAAATTGTCACTTGCTGTTCTTGTTGATGCTGATGATGATGATGATGATGATGATGATGATGATGATGAGGAGGAGGAGGAGGAGGAGGAGGAGGTGAAGGAGGAGGATGAGGTGAAGGAGGAGGAGGAGGAGGAGGAGGAGAAGGCATCTGGTCCGAGACCTTTCTGACATTCTGGGCAAGAGCCAGAACGTTCTCTTACTGAACCACTCGGTCCAGCCTTAAGCGTGCTTAGTTCACCTTGCACTTTCTTCACAAAGCCGCGCATTTTGCACCCGCTTGCATTGACACAAGCGGAATGCTGGCATCGACGTGCACGTGCAAGACTGGCGCAGGGCAGATTATTACTTAGAGCAGTGCAGGCTGCAGACATCTTGGCAAGTCTCCGCTCATCCATGGCTCGTGCTGCCAGCCTGGGAGTTCAGTGGAATTGCACCAAGTGTGGACGGTATGTCAAGCCACATCATTGGCGTTGCTTGTGCGATCAGCCTGTCGGACTCGATCAGCAGCAGCACGATCCGATCAATCCCAGTGCTCGACAGTGCCACCTGGGGCTCCGCCGGCTCCGCGTTGGCTCGCAGGCTGGGGCGGCGGCGGCGGCGGCGGCGGCGTCCGTGTGGCGGCGACGACGACGCGGCGGGGACGGCAGCGGCCGGCGCGCCCCGACGGCCGCAGGAGGCGCGAGGGCGTCGGGCGGAGGGCGGCGGGCGCCCGCCGAGGCCGCGGCCGCCACGCCGAGGTGGGCGACAGCCGCCCTTCGCGCCTCGGTGGCCGGAGGCGCGAGGGCGTCGGGCGGAGGGCGGCGAGCGCCCGCAGAGGGCGCCACGGCCGCGCCGAGGTGGGCGGCGGCCGCCCCTCGCGCGCCTCGGTGGCCACGCGGGGCGGCGCGAGGGCGGCGGTGGTGCACGGCGACGGACGACCCGCCGAGGCCGCGGCCGCCACGGCCGCCGGCGGGCCAGGCTGCAGCGGGCGCGCCTCGGCGGCCACAGCGAGGCGAGAGGGCGGCGGTGGGCAGGGGCCCGCGGCCCTGCGCTGGGGACCTCGGCGGGCAGCGGCTGGTGCGGGCGCCCTCCGCCTCGCGGGCGCACGTTGCGTCCAAGGCGCAACCGCCGTGGCCACGGCCGCAACTTGGATCCGCGGCGCCGCCGAGCAGGTAAGCCGACCGGCGCAGGTGCGGGATCCGAGAGCACGCCTACTTTCCTGGCGCAGGGCCCAGCGCTGGCCGCCCTCTGTGCCCTTGGCCCTCTCGCGGCCTGGCGCGGGCCCACGGCCAGCCCGCGGGGCGCACAGAACGTGCCGTCGATCGAAGAGCAAACATCGGCACAAGCATGAACTTTCGGAGGGCCGTGCGGATTTCTTGGATTTCTGAATGATCCGAGAACTCCGCGCGGACTTCCGATTACAGCAGCGCGCAGAGGAGGCGAGTCGGGGCAGTGCGGCCCAACGCGTAAGTCGGGCATGTTCCTTTACAGGAGGAGAATTCAAGAATAGTGAACAATCGTCAGGGGACGATTTTTCTACACTGTTCCACTATTTTGAGTTTTGTTGGTACTATTTTTCATTATTCTTTCAAAATCCGCCTGTAGGAGAACATGCCCGACCGAACACAACGCTGTTTCTCGGCACCTTGCTCCCATGATCGTTCAATCCTATCTCTCCTGCCTAGTTCCCTCCGTCCTCAGGAGCTTTGCGGCAACCCTCCTGTTGCCAGCGGCATCTGGGGGAGGTAGTAGCGTGGGAACCATATGGTGGGTGGGAGGAGCGAGTCCAAAGATTTTGCGAGGCAGGCTCGAGGCGCTTGCAGAGCGTCCTAAGTTGTGCGAGCAGTTCCTGGAACCCTAATTTCATATCTGAATGGGCCCATGGCGTGTTGGCTTGGCCTGGACATCATCCTACCTTGCCCCTTGATCTCTGGGGGAGGCGGAGGAGTGGAGAGCGTGCTTTATGGAGGTGGAGCTGGGGGATCCTCCCTACCATTGCCCAGCAACAGCTCAGCAGAGCAAGGGGCGTGTAGGTCGATCCACCCAAGCCTGGCTTAAGAGTAGAGAGGAGTGTTGATGAGGGAATCATGGGCTTCCATGTGTGGGCGCCCTCGCCCTTCCCCTCCGTGCCGCGCCAGTGCACGGGAGCACAGGAGTTTCTTTTTGGGGTTTGTGTTGTTGTTAGTTGTGTGTGTGTTTCTGTGCTTCTATTATGTTTTTTTTTGTTTTGTTTTCTCTCTCTCTCTCTCTATCTTTATATCTCTGCCGTACATATGGCTATGCCCTCTGTCTCTCTCTCTCTCTCTCTCTCCCCCCACCCCCCCCCTCCCTCCTCGATCCTCGAGCGCGCGCGCGGCTCCAGAGAGAGAGCCAGCCGGCTCCCCTAGCCGTCCGCCTGCCAAGAGCTCGGACCTCCTGCTGCAGGCGCCGCGCGCCCCCCCCCCCCCCTGCGGGAGGTGGCGCTCGTCTACGCCCTCCTGTCGGCGCACGACGAGGCGCCCGCCGGCGCGGCGGCGGGGCGTCCGCCCGGCCCGCCTCGGCCCGGTGCCACCCTCGCCGGTCGCCGCGGGCCGGGCTCGCGCCGAGGCCGGGAGGTGTCCGCAGCCGCCGCCTGGGGCATCGGTGGATGTGAATAGATTTCGGGCCCTCGGGGGCCAAAATGCACTGGGGGCCCATGCCAAGAAACACCCTGCTTGCCTCCAAGGTGCCCTGGGTTTCTTGGGTTTCGATGGTTCTGCCATGGAAAGCGTGACGTTCCCACACCAAAAATGAATGGACGTCCTGGGGTCTCATGGTTGGGTTCTTGTAGAAAGTTTCTTGTGGACTGGCCTCCACTTTAGATCCATATCCACCGCCTGCTGGGGCACCAGGATGTCGATTCCCAGGCGGTGGGTATGGATAAGTTCCTTCCTCGCACTCGAGGCGTCTGCCCTGCGGGCGCCGCTCCCCTCGGAGTAGCGCGGCAGCCGGCGCGGCCTGCAGGCCATCGTGCGCGCAGCACCAGACTCTGCCGCCGGGCGGCTTCCTTGTGGAACAGTCGGTCCTATGGGGCGATGTTGTGGTCCTCGGAGAACAACGTCCGCCGACATGTTTAGGGGAACGAGCGGTGACACAAGCACAAAAGCTCGGAGGTCCGCGCGGATTTCTCGGATCGGCGCCGGGCCCCCCTGGTGCGCTCCGCGCGCCAGAGAGGGAGGTCCGCCGCGGATCCGAGAACTCCGCGCGGACCTCCGAGTTTCTGTGCTTGTGCCAT